AATTCAACAACTCTTCATGATATATAAACACTCAACAGAGGAAAACAACCTCACCATAACACAGCTAAATATAAAAAGCCAACAGCTAACATTATACTCAGTGGTGAAAGACTGAACGTTTCTCCTCTAAGATCAGGAACAAGACGAGGACGACTGCTCTCACCATTTCTGTTCAACATGACACTTGAAGTCCTAGCCAGAGCAATTAGTCAAGAAAATGAAAAAAGCGGGTGCATCCACATTGGAAAGAAGTAAAGTTATCTCTGCAGAAAACGTGATCTTATTATGTAGAAAGTCCCAATGATTCCATTTTTAAAAAACCGTTAAAACTCATCAATGAATTTGGCAAAGTGTCATCATACAAAAATCAACACACAGAAATCAGTTGTTTCCATAGACTAACAATGAACGACACACCAAAGGACCTTAAGAAAACAATTCTATTTATAATAGCATAAAAAAGAAGAAAATACTTTAGAAAAACTTAACCAAGAAGGTAAAGACTTGTCCTACGAACTACAAAGCATTGCTGAAAGATATTAAAAGAGACACAAATCATCAGTAGACATCCTGTGTTCACGGACTGGAAGACTTAACATTGTTCAGATGTCAAAACTACCCAAAGCAATCTACGGATTTAATGCAACACCTATCAGAATCCCAACGGCATTTTTTGAAGAAACAGAGAAATACACCTTAAAATTCATATGGAATCTCAATGGATCCTGAATAGGCAAAGCAGTCTTGAAAAGGAAGAACCAAGTTGCTGATTTCAAAACATATTACAAAGCTACAGTCATCAAAATAGCATGATGCTGACTCAAACACCGACATACACAGAACAATGGAATAGAATAGAGAGCCCAGAAATAAACCCTCACGTATATAGTCAAATGATTTTCAACAAGGGTACCAAGGCCATTCATGGGGAAAGGCCTCTATTTCATGACGAACATTCTCTTCATGAAATGGCTTTGGGAAAACTGGATATCCACATGCAAAGGAATAAAGTTAGACTCTTATACTATACACAAAATTAACTCAAAGTGAATCAAAGATCTACATATAAGAGCAAAGTCTATGAACTCTTAGAAGAAAACAAAGAGGAAAAAGCTTTATGACACTGGATAAACAGGACGACAGCAAAACTTAAAACTCCTGTGCATCAAAGGACACGATCAACAGACTGAAAAGGCGACCTGTGGGAGAAAATATTTGCAAATCATGTATCTGATCAGGAGTTCATACCCAGAACATATAAGGAAATCCAACAACTCGACGACAAAAACAACAAACAACCCACCCAATACAAAAACAACAAACAACCCACCCAATTTAAAAGTGGGCAAAGGACTTGACTAGATATTTCTCCAAAGAGGATATACAAATAGGCAACGAGCTTATGAAAAGATGTTCAAATTATTAATAATTAGGGAAATGCACATCAAAACCATGATGACATATCACCTCACCCCAGGTAGGTTGGCTACTACCCCCCCCAAAAAAAGTTTTGGTGAGCATGTGGAAACACCGGAACCCTTGGGCACTGTTGGTGGCAATGTGAAATGGTGCGGCCTCTGTGGAAAACGGTATGACACGTCCTCAAAAACCAGAATTTCCACATGATCCAGCAACTCCACTTTTGGTTATGCATCCAAAAGCACTTGAAGCAGGGTCTCAAAGAGATACCTGTACCCTCGTGGTCCTAACGGCATTATTCACAATTGCCAAGAGCTGGAAGCAATCAGAGTGTCCTCCAAGGGACGAGCGAGTAAACAAAATGTGCTGTATCCACAGGATGAACTACTATTCAGCTTTAAAAAGAAAATCTCGGAGAACCGGGTAAAATTGCGTAGATGTTAGAAGCTTCGCTCATCCCCTCTTGTGACATCAAAGTTGAGATGGAAACACGGAGCAAATAGCAAGCAGAGTCGCTTGGCATCTAGAAGAACAGAAGCCCTACAACTAGGGAGAGACATCATTAATCGCCTTGCCACGGTAGAAGGTAGGACGGGTCGAAGACACAAGGCTGCCCAGTCCCTAGCAACCGAGTGGGACAGAGACTGCGGCCACGGCAGACGCCTCTTAAAGGGGCCACGTCCCTGAGCGAACTGTCACGGTGATGGACCTGCTAGCTCTGAGCACTGGCTTTGGGTAGGCTGCACAGGGGGCACCAGGGACTTACAGGAGGACACCGAGTTGTCGGAGCAGGGCCAGAGGCGAGGTTCTCTCCCAGACAGAGGTACTGACGGTATCCATTGCTCCTCTGTGGAGCCCTCCCCGCTCCCAGGGTGTAGATGCAGTGCCACCATAGCCCAGACATCACCAAACTCTGGATAACAGAGGTCGCTCCACCCAGAGGAGTCCTTGAAACCTCGCCTTCCCCAACTCGTGGCCCCACCCAAGCCACATCCAGGTGAGTCCTCGGCGAGTCAAGTGCTCCTTGCTGAGCAGTGCCAAGACCCACACTGGGGCAGCTGGCCTTGGTTTCAGCGTGGCTTCTTGAGGCAGCTATAAGCACAGCATCTGTGGATGGCTTGCTGAGTCTTAACAGGTGGCCCCAGAGGGGCACAGGCTGGGGCTAAGTTTGGCCTGCGGCTGAACCCCTCTCAGGACTGTGCCACTGGACGCCTACCACACAAAGCTGCACTAATAAGACCGGGAGACTCAGGAGCTTTGCTTAGTACATAGAAACAGACGTGAAAAAGCAGCACAAATGGAAAGACAAAGAAGGAATTTCCACACAAAAGAACAGAACAGAGGTCCAGGAAAAATGGGGTCAAGCAATCTCGCAGATGCAGAGTTCAAAACGCTGGTTATAAAGATGCTCAATGAAATTAAGGGAAGTGTAGATGAACTCAGTGAGAACTTTGACAAAGAGATAAAAAAAACCACATAGAAATGGAAATGGAAGTTATAAAAGGGAACCAGTCAGAAATGAAGAACACGTTATCTGAGATGAAGGGTTTGTTAGAGGGAATCAACAGAGTGGATGAAGAAGAGGATCGAACCACTGACACAGAGGACGGGGCAGCCAAGGACACACAATCAGAACAGCGAGAAAAAAGAAGCCAAGACGATACTGATAAGTTAAGGAGCCTGTGGGACAAAATTAAATATAGAAACATCTGTGTCATAGGGGTGCCTGAAGAGGGAGAACAATAAGTCGAATATATATTGATGGAAAATAATGATGGAAAACTTTCCTAACTTGGTGAATGAAACAGACATACAACCTCAAGAAGCTCAGAGAGTCCCCCAAAAAATGAACCCAAAGAGGCCCACACCAAGACATACCATAATTAAAATACCAAAAGTTAAATACAAAGAGAGAATCTTAAAAGCGACAAGAGAAAATCAATTTCTTACCTACAAGGGAGCACCCGTAAGACTGGCAGCCGATTTCTCAAAAGAAACTATGCAGGACAGAAGGGCTTGGCTCAAAGTATTCAAAGTGTTGAAAACCTGGGATCTGCAACCAAGAATAGTTTCTCCAGCAAAGCTATCATTTAGAATCGAAGAACAGATAAAGAGCTTCCCAGACAAAGATAAGCTAAAGGAATTTATCACCACCAAATCAGTATTATAGGAATTGTTGGAGGGACTTCTTCAAGAAGAAAAAACATGTATCAAAAACATTAATAAAGAATTATAATAACTACATTCCTATCAATAAGTACCTCAAATGGAAAAGAACTAAACGCTCCAACAAAAGATAGGGAAGCTGAATAGATAAGAAAACAAGCCCCCTACATACGCACCTACGAGAGACTCGCTTCACGTTAAAAGACACACACAGACTAAAAGGAAAGGGATGGAAAAAGATGTCGCCTTGATGGACCTAGAGGGTACTGCGCTGAAGGAAGTCGAGTCAGATAGAGAAAGACAAGTACCACATGATTTCACATACACGTGAAAGCTAAAGAATAAAATAAACAACAACAATGACAAAAATGGAAACAAACTCATAGACACAGAGAATATTCTGAGGGCTACTAGACAGGTGGGGGATTGGGGGAGACGGTGAAAAGGGACGCAGGGATTAAGAAGTACAAATGGATAGTTTCAAAATAGTCACGGAGCTAGAAAGAGCAGTGTAAGGAAAATAGTCAACAATGTTGTAAAAAAATATATCAGGGGGAAGAGGGGCTCCTGATTTCGTGGGGTGATCACTTCGTGAATTATATAGCTCTCTAATCACTATGTTGTACATTATTGTGTGCCAACCATAACTGAAAGAACTTATTGAATTATACAATGTAAATATGAGCAACTAATCGTACTTCAGTAAAGCTGGGGGAAGAAACAGAAGAAAATCCTGTCACGTGCTACAACATGGATGAAGCTTGAGGACATCATGCTAAGTGAAATAAGCCGGTCACAAAAAGACGAGTATCATATGACTCCACTTATAGAGGCACCCACTGTAGTCAGAGTCACAGAGACAGAGAGCAGACTAGCGCTTGCCAGGGGCGGGGAGGGGAGCACCGGAAGTCGTTTGTCTCGCGAGATGAAAACTTTCTGCGTGCGTGTATGTGAATATCATTAACAATACCTGACCGTACATTTAAAAACGGTTAACATGGTAAATTTTATGTTAGGTGTATTTTACCCCAATTAAAAAAGCGTTTAACAGGCAGTCTCATTACCTTGCAGCTATAATTCGGATGGCGGTTCCTGCAGAATGGCGGGCTTTCCTCCCGGGACAGACGTCACTTGGCAGAGGAGCCCGCTCACTGGAGTGGGGATTGCCCAGCTCCGCCCAGATGGAGGTTTTTCTTCTTCAACGAGGTCTGTGGGCACAGAGCTGACTTTCACACCATTACTGCTGGAGGGGCGGGGCGGGGCAGGGCGAACCTACTCCGTTTGTACACGGGTGTAGACCAGCGTCTCTCCACCTCCACACTGTCTGGTTCTT